TGGGGTGGGTGGGCCACTGCCGCTCCGGGGCTGGAAACGAGGACACGCGGGTCCCCTCGCTGCCTCCAGGGCCTTGCTTTGAGCAGCGTCCCTGGGACGGCTTTCCCTGATGGCGCTCCAGGAGCTCCGTGGAGCTGCGTCCCGCTGCCTTTGGCCGGCCTGCGTGCCTCAGGCCCGCAAGACAGCAGAGAAGGAAGGGCTCCAGGACTGAGCAAGCCCCATTGTTTGAAGTGACTCCTGTGCTCCCTGGCTGCGAGCAGAGCTGCTGGGTCGCCGGGGCGGTCTGTAGCTCTGCCCGCAGCGGTTGGCAACTGTGGCAGCAAAAGGAAGGGATGTCCTGGGGCAGCTCTGCCCTGTTCCCTTGCCGGCGTGCTCGTCCACCCTTCTGCTGGGAGTAGCTATAGCTCAGCACCCTCTAGAGTCTCCAAGTCTCCTCTTTTCACCCGCCCTAACTGTGGCCTGTTGAATTCCTGGCACAGGGCAAGAAGGGTAAAACGAAGATGCCATCTCTGGTGAAGAAGTGGCAGAGCATCCAGCGGGAGCTGGATGAGGAAGAGAACTCCAGCTCCAGCGAGGAGGACCGAGAGACGACTGCGCAGAGGCGCATTGAGGAGTGGAAGCAGCAGCAGCTGCTGAGGTACGGACACGTGCGAACTCGGGACGCTCTGCTGAAGCCGGCAGCCCTTCCTGCTGGCGCTCTGACGCTGCCCAGCTCGACAGCGGCGAAACGCTGCCTGCCCCAGCTGGAGATGGCTGAGGCACCTTAGCGGGAACTCCCCTCTTCCTTGAGGAGCCTCCACTCTGCGAGGGGCAGGTTCCCCTGCTGTGGTGCCTGGGGCACTGGCTCGTGGTGATCCTCAGGCCCCAGGGGACGTCTGAGATTGTGGCTTGTAGCAGGATGCCGGTAGGATCCTGTCCCTGAAGAGGGATTAGTCCTTCCGCGGTTACCTGCCTGCCACAAGGCTGCTTTGTGAGGGAGAAACTCCTCGATGGGCTTCTCTTTCCTCGCTCCCGGTATGGAGGGAGAAGTGGGTGTCCGGCCACGGTGGAGAGCAGGGGGGCTGGGTGGCAGCAGGCAGTAGCGAATGTCACCTTGCACCTCCTGGGCACTAACCCCCACCTTTGTCCCCGCAGTGGCATGGCAGAGAGGAACGCCAACTTCGAGGCACTGCCGGAAGACTGGCGAGCGCGGCTGAAGCGGAGGAAAACCACTTCAAGCACATGAGGCGCGCGGCACTATTTTTTACAGATGTACAGTTTAGAGCCCTTTACGACTTGACCGTTGTCCAATAAATTGTAGCAGTTTGGGACGTGCTTGTCTTGATTGAAAGGGTGAATAACGGGAGCCCTGGGGCTCCTTCCCCAGCCCTACTCTGGGACCGCCCCGGCCCATCCTGCTCCAGCGGGGTGGAAGCGGGGTGGGGGGATCCGGGCTTGCTCCGGTCTCCAGTGGTGCCTGACTGGCCCTGCCCTGCCCAGGCCATCCTTGAGCCCTACGACAGCTTCATGTACAGACACCTGCGCTTCTACGGCTACTTCCGAGGTGAGCCCTGGGCACGGCGAGGCCCCGCGTGAGGGACATGGAGCTCGGGGCGCTCATCCCTGCGCCGGGGCC